CTATCTATCTATCTATCTATCCATCTATCTATCTATCTATCTATCTATCTATCTATCTATCTATCTATCTTTATATATTTATCTATGCTTATTTATATGTATGTATGTATGTATGTATGTATGTATGTATGTATGTATGTATGTATGTATGTATGTATGTATGTAGGTATGTATGCATGTATGCGTGCTTGCTCACGGTCACATTTACAGCGTATAGGCTTCGATACAAGCAAGGCTCCATCCTGTCTCTCGCGATTATCTATTGGGTATGTAGGTCTGGAGACTGTAAGTTGATTTTATCTAAAAGCCTGATACATGATGAATAGTTTAATTTTCTAAAATGAGATTAGCAGGCCTCACTGTATCGTTGAATATAACTTACCCTTGTGATTCATTCTGAATGAGGTATTGAGTTTTATTACTATTAAGCTCATTTGAATTGAAAGAAAGTGTGTGTAATAAAGATATTGGAAAGTCGATTTCACCAGAAGATCAGCTGCCGATTGGATTTACTGAAATATACTTGTTGACACTGTTTCCGAAGTAATCTCCTTCGTTTCAGAGGAGGTCGTGCTCAGCTTTCGTCCATCACATGACAGATATCAGAACAGGGTACAGTCTTATAACCATTTCAGGCTGACATTTCATTATCTCAACTAGAGATACTTACGGTTTTACGTAATCTTGGTCAGGGTTTTTTCTTGGGTCACTAAGCCTTGATGACCTGAACCTGACACTAGGCCTTTGTACCTACTCTGATTTAGGATCTATACGCATACAGACATTAACAAACACACACAGGCAGACACTCAAGTATAAATAGCATGGCAAATATGAGAGAGAACAAAGCAAGTAATTCTATATCTATTTACCTATATACCCATTTCTGTGTATTTTCATTTTTTAGATATGAGTATATATCAGATGTAGGATAAGACCGGACAAGTTTCACGACTTAGTGCTAAATAGAGACTTTTACAATAATTAGTTCCAGCACTGTTGATGCTCATCATAGGATGGACGAAAGCTGAGCCTGATTTCACCCGAATCGTGCTAGGATGCTTCATGAACTGCGTCAATATGAACGTCGGAGTAGAACCAAACAGCTTCAGAAGAACGGAAATCGGCCGCTGTCTCTCGATAAAATCAGCCAACAAACCTATTCATCATGCACTTTTTTACGAAATAAAATTCTCCCTAATAACATAAGTTGTCCAATATATAGAAGAAAAATTTAGTATGCTATTTGACAAACCCCGCGTGCACAATTACAACAGTGAACGACAGTGTCGGTTGTTCCTTCGAACAATCTGAGAACAGCGTCCAATTCATGGCTGACCTACATGCCTACTGGCGCACAATATAAGGGATCACTAGGATCAGTAGGCTCCGAAGCATATATATATATATACATATATATGTTTATACACTTTCATCTTTTATTAATGTATATATATATATATATACATATACAATGATTTGGCTAATTACATTTCTATGAGATGAATTCGCCCTATGTTGTTTAGAATGATGGAGGACTTGTAGTAGAATTTTCCCACAGTGATATGATAGAGCTGACGTTTCCATTACATTTCACATTGCCTTGCTTTCCTAAAAGTTGTTCCCATCCAGAGTGGACTGCACTTTCGACCTCGCATCGGTCTTATCAACACCCCCAGCGGGAA